GGACGGGAGGGGACGCGGCGGGGCGGGATGGGATGGGATGGGATGGGATGGGATGGGATGGGATGGGATGGGATGGAGAGAGTGCTCTCCATGGGGATGGGGATTGGGAGTGAGACCAAAATCAGCGAGAATAAACTTTCTAACACAACAGGAAGCATTAGGAAGCAGGAATTCTTTACCTGCACAGGACATACAGAAGGATCTCTCCTTGTTCCGTGTGTGGTGAGTTTTACAACAGGGCTTTTATCCATCATAATCACACATAGACATTGAAAGGTTTTTCTTATCTGACACAAAAACATCATTTTCTTAGAATTTATTTGCACATGTCAGCCTCCTAGTAGAAGTAATTATTTGATCCTGAAAGTTCAGTAAGAGGAGTTTCTGGTGTTTGTATTCACTGGGTGCTGTGATATTAAAGGTGACCTTGCCTTGAACTTTTCCTCTGGCTATGCACTGTTGCTTCCTGTAACAGAACTTGCCCCAGAAATACTGCAGGCCTCCTAATCTGTTTCTGCACCAGCGCCAGCCACATTTATCATCCTGTGTCCACATCTTTACATCCATTTATCTCTCTGACCAGTCAGTCTTTAAGCAACTTCAGGGGAGTTGAAAATGTTTATTCTCTGTTATTTATCAACCCCCTGCACACCAGCCCAACCCTTCCACCTTCCTCTCCCACCCCACAATTCCCACTGCCCTCCTCCTCTGCACATCTCACTCCTCCCCACTGAATCCTTCCCTCTGCAGGGAGCTGCTGAGGAGCCTCATGGTCCATCCCTGGATTCTCCAAGCACTGACTGCCCATCCACTCTGACCACAGCCAGGGGCCACATCCCACTGCCTGCCCAGCATCCATCCATGGAGCTGAGCACCGTGTCCCCTTTCTTCACAGCACCAAATGATGGGCCTGGTCAGTGTGACATCAATGTTTCCAGCATGGCCATGCACATTGTGACCCTGCTCGTCGGCCTCTGTGGGCTGGCTGGGAATGGGGCATTCCTCTGGCTCCTCCTCATTAATGCCATCACTGACTTTGTGGCATTCAACCAGGCCAGCATCGACTTCCTCTTCCTCATCTTCATGGTCCCCTCCAGCCTGCTCTTCCTTGTAGAGGAAGTGTCCTGCTCTGCTATAATGCCCCCAATGTATTTGAGCTTGCTTTCCCAGCTATCACTGTTTACCTACACCATGGGGCTGTTCCAGCTGATGTTCATCAGCATTGAGAGGTGCAGGTCCATCCTCTGCCTGTTTTTCTGTGTTGGGCAACTGTCCAAACAACTGTTGTGGGTGGTGATGAGTGCCCTCTTCTGGGCTTTGTTCTTTGTTGTCACCGCTGTCAATCCCACAGTGACTTCCCTGTGCCAGTCACACGAGCAGGAGCAATGCCAAGTGGCTCTCACCTCCATGTACGCCCTCAACCTCTTCCTATTTGCTGTACCCATGGTTATTTCCAGCACAATCCTCTTCATTCATTTCAAGCCTGGCTCCCAAGAGCCACCCAAGAATCTGGACATCGTTATCTTCCTCGTTGCACTCATCAGTCTACCCCTCAGTCTCTGGTATTTCCTGCAGCAGCTCGGTTACACGGTTGTGCCCTCCCAGGTGGTTTTGCTGCTCACCTGCATCACCAGAAGCATCAAACCCTTCATCTACTTCTTGGTGGGGAGCTGGAAGAGAGCCTACTCCATGAGGAGCTGCTGGAGACACTGCTCCATGCAGAGCTGCAGGAGGCACTCCTCTGTGCAGTCCCTAAGGAAGGCGATCCACAGGGTGTTTGAGGAGCCAAAAGAAAACACTGCCTGTGGAGATGATCTAACCATGGTCACTGGAGTCTGAGTCTATTGATCCCTTGCACTGCACTGCTGAAGGACCCTGGGACAGTGGCTGAGAGATTCCTTGAGTCTCCTGGTCAGTAAATGCCCACAGTGTCACCCTCCCTGTGCTGGGGCATCCCCAGCCCCTTTCCAGGCCCCTCTGGGCTCTGATCCGTGCTTGTGAGGCGCTGAGCAGAAGCTCCCTGGGAGTGGGGCCTCTCCGAGCTGGGATCTCTCCCGTCTGCTGCCCTCGGCTGATCCCCGAACGCCGACGGCTCCTGGGCCGATCCCCCAGTGCTCCAGGCCCAGCCCTTGGCCCAGTGAGGAGATGCAGAGGGATCCCCAGGGAGCATTTCACTGCCTGCCAGGGGAATTTCTCACAGGGACCTTGCACTGACTCTTTCTGCCTCTGTGCACACACGTGTGCAGCTGCTGTGGCAAATGTGGCACAAATGCTGCTCTCACAGGTGTTAGTACCTCAGACAGTGGGTCAGGCCTGCAAGGTAGTTTCATGCAACAATTAGGTTGAATGCTGTTAAGTATTAGTCCTCTGAATGGCTGAATGGCTGAATGGCTAAGTTTTAGGTATAACAAAAGCAGTGTGAAAAACTGAATTCACTGATTACAGTTTTTAAAAGTTTAATAATAGTAATAATAATTATAGTAATAGGATAAAGAATGGATAATATTTCCAGCAGTGGGGTGCACCTGGCTAACAGCTATAGAACACACCGGTGTATGCAGGCAATGTTATCTTTATACTGTTACATTACTGGGATACATGTAAATTTATGTTTTTCATGCATTATTTAAACTTTCTTGGAAACTTTCTAATGTTTTGGGAACTCCTTTGTCTGACTTCACAGTCTGGCTTATCTGCATGACATCCTGGGTGTTATGTCAATATATTTTATTTCTTCTTGTGTCTCCATCTTGCTATTTCATATCTTCTCATAAAGATTTAGTATGTCTTCCGTAAATTTAATATGGAATTCTCTAATTGTCCTCTTGTGTTCTGGTTTGTGTCACAGTTATCTTATAACTTGAACAGGTTGGGCAGTGGATGACCTTACACTGGTTTTAGTTACACTAAAGCTTTTCTTTTCTTTTTTATGTCTTATGTTTTGCTAAGGTCTGTAACACAGTGCATTCATCACACAATTATTTCCATAGTCAAACACAGATATAATATTCATTACACCACTATTTCTACGAGTAACACAGTTTATAATTAAGCTGGTAGATTGTATTATATTAGCAAGCAGTTAAAAAGAGTTATAATTGATACTATGCCTAAATACTTGCAATCACTAACAATATGCAAAGGCTAATACATGAATGTAAAAGCCAATTTTATCCGGTTTCCCAGATAAATTTTTCCCATTACTGTTAAGTTGGAGTGCTGTAAAGGGTTTGGGCCATTTTCCCTTAAATCCTTACCCTCACTCTCCTTTTGTCACCTGCCCTTGAACGCACACACAAAAACACACAGGGACAGCACTTTGGTGTGCTCTTGCTTAATATAAAACCTGTTTTTTACTGATATCCTTGCTGCTGGTTTTGTGCCTTCAGAAATTCTCCCTCTGCCCTGGCTTTGGCCTCTCCCTCAGCAGGCTTGGATGGTGCAGCTGCAAGGGGAGGGGGAGTCCATGGTCCTCAGCACAGCCACCCCCTTCCAGGAGCAGGGTGACATCTGTGTTGGTCTCCACGGGGCATCAATCCCCACCCTGTAGCTTTGTTGAGCTCTCTGAGCTTGGGATGTTCAGCCTGGAGAAGGGAAGGCTTCAGGGAGACCTTAGAGCCCCTTCCAGAGCCTAAAGAGGCTCCAAGAAGGGGGAATGGCTTCCCACTGCCAGAGAACAGGTTGAAGTGGAATATTGGCAAGAAATTCTTCCCTGTGAGGGTGGACAGGCCCTGGCACAGGTTCCCACAGATGCTCTGGCCTCCCCATCGCTGGAGGTGTTCCAGGCCTGGCTGGATGGGGTTTGAAGCAATCTGACCTGGTGGAAGGTGTCCCTGCTTGCAAAGGGGTGAGATCAGGAAAAAACAACCACAAGTATTCCCAGGACTGAGGAGGAGGAGGATGATGAGCTCTGGTGAAGGGTTGGAAGGGGCACCACAGCACCCCAAAATCTGGTCCCCTATTGCTTTTATTGCATCATCAAGGGTATTGGCAGTAAGAAATGTGGGCTCTGATGCTGATAACCTGGCTGCAAACCTGTTGTGGTTTGGCTCTGGCCAAACACCAGGCACCCGGGAAAGCTGTTTGCTCACCTTCTCTTGCTGTCAGCTGGGGGAGGAGAGGGAAACAAAAATTAACAAAGGGCTTATGTTGTATTGTGTTATTACTGTACTGTATTAAGTTGAGTTGGTTTGTCCCTTATACCCCTTCTTGCAATGGTTCTCCCCAGGTTCTCCTTCTCCCTTGATTGCCCCGTCGGTCAAGCCTCTCTTCTCCCCTCCAAACATTGTAGTAACCCGTGATCCCTCCCTGGTCTCCTGTCCGTCACTCAGTGCCCCCACCTTTGAATCCAGAACCTTCTACCTTGGGCATCGAGTGATTGGACCAGGAGCCATAACTCCACCCCTACTTTCCCCCTATTGGATACCCCACGTTATCTTTCACTCTCTTACCACTCCCATCTTTTTTCCGATTGGCTGAGGATCCTCCCTTTATAAACCCCAGTCGGGACCCAGTCTGGGTCCTCGGCTGGCAGTCTCCCTGGAGTTCATTAAAACCAGATTGAACTGCCGCCGTGGTCTGTCTCCTTCTTCCACCCTGTGGGTAGCAGCCTCTCTCCTTCTCCACCGCGAATCCTCATCCCCAGAAGGCATAAACCTTAGGCGCTCTCCTAGCAAAGCCCTCGATCGGGAGAGTGCCCCCGTGCTGCTGGCGGTGCTGGCCGCAGCTAGCTGGGGTTTCTCTTAGACGCCAGCCGCCACTGCAGGCTCATGAATTGAGATGGGGACTGGGAGAAAATAACACTCCAAGAATAGAGAAAAACAGGTTCAAAATAAATTGTATTAAGTAAATGTATTATTAGGAGATTCAGAGGATGATAATGAGAAGTGAAATAAAACACCTTTCTTTCCCCTAGCCCCTCCCTCCTTCCCACTGACAGTGCAGGGAGACATGGCGTGGGGGTTTTGGTCAGTTCATCACTTGAGATCTTTTCTGTTCGCTGAGGGAGAGGAGTTGTTTTGTGCTAGGTCATGGGGTCTCTCCCACGGGAGACAGTTCTCCATGAACTTCCTCCGTGTGGCTCTAATCTCACCAGCAGCAGTCCTGACAAAACCGTTGCAACGTGAGTCCCCCCCAGGAGTAAACAGTCTCCTCCAAACTGTTATGGCTTGGGTCACTCTTCCACGGGGTGCAGTCCTCCAAAGACAGGCAGCTCCACTTTGGAAGCAAGGGACCTCTCTCTATCTCTCTCTCTCTGCTCGGGTCTTGCCCTCCACAAGGTTTTTCCTGGGCCACACCAGGATGGCAGCGGCCGCGGCGCGTCACCGCTCACCACACCGGGATGGCCCCAGCAGCGATGCCTCGCCATGGAAGGTGCGGAGGGTTTTGTTTCCTATAAGGGGCTCCTTTGGAGATATTTTCCCCTAATTTGTCCTAAACCAGTTCAAATAATTTGTTCAGGAGGAGAGAGCCAGCAGAATGGGAATGGGGAGCTCCTGGTGATCTGGGCACTTTCTCCTTCATGTCACTGACCTGCCAGGAGTCGCTTTAGGACGTGGATCCCAAAGGAGCAAGAGGGACCAGGAAGAGCCGCTGATCTGAAGAGACCCCTTTGCCTGCTGCTGCCCCACAGGGAACAGGTCAGTGGAATGGTTTCCTTCCTCCCTGCCCCACCTTCCTCTCCTGCAGCAGCTGCTCTCTTCCTGCTACCCTCTCCCAGTGACCGCAGTGCCCTGCCCAGGTCCTCTTCTTCTCCTGTGCAGCCTGTCTGTATCCTAGTACTGAAAAGGGCCAGAACAAACTTTCAAACTTTCTAACACAATGCAAAGCATGAGGAAGCAGGAATTCTTTACCTGCATAGGAGACAGATGGATCTCCTCTGGTATTGTGTGTATGGTGAGACTTTACAACAGAGTATTAATCCATTATAACCATACATAGGCATTGAAAGTTTTTCTTTTCTATAATATAATCACCATTTTCCTAGAACTCATTTCCATGCATCCCCCTCCTCCAGGAAGTCCTTTTATGATCCTGGAGATTTATAAAGAGGGGTCTCTCTGGTGGTCATATTCAATGAATGCTGCCATATTAAAGGTGGCCTTGCCTTGAATTTTCCTCTGGCCATGCACTGTTGCCTCTTGTTCCTGAAATTGCCCCAAACCACTGCAGGCCTCCTTATCTGTTTCTGCACCGGCACCGGGCAAGGGGCTCTGTCCGGGGTCTGCAAGAGAAGCTTCGTACCCTCCGCGGCAAAGAGAGAAACGGCTCGACCCCTTGGACTGGTGAAACATCTGTTGCCATCTCAGGCTATTTCTCTTGTGCTGGGAGTGTTTTTTTTGTTGTTCTTTAATAAACAAGTTTTTTCCACTTCCCCTCTGAAGAAATTCTTCCCGAACCCAGTGGTGGGGAGAGGGGGGAAGGTGCGGAGGGGTTTGTTTCCTATAAGGGGCTCCTTTGGAGATATTTTCCCCTAATTTGTCCTAAACCAGTTCAAATAATTTGTTCAGGAGGAGAGAGCCAGCAGAATGGGAATGGGGAGCTCCTGGTGATCTGGGCACTTTCTCCTTCATGTCACTGACCTGCCAGGAGTCGCTTTAGGACATGGATCCCAAAGGAGCAAGAGGTACCAGGAAGCGCCTCTGATCTGCACAGACCCCTTTGCCTGCTGCTGCCCCACAGGAAACAGGTCAGTGGAATGGTTTCTTTCCTCCCTACCCCACCTTCCTCTCCTCCAGCAGCATCTGCTCTGTTCCTGCCATCCTATCATGATGACTGCAGTGCCATCCCCAGGTCATGCCTCTTCTACCCTGAGTTTCCACCCGCAACCTCTGCTGAACAGCCCAGCCCCACCACCTCCCTCTCCCAGCCCACAATTTCCACCTCCCTTCTCCCCTGCACATCTCACTCCTCCCCAATGAATCCTCCCCTCTGCCAGGAGCTGCTGAGGACCCTCATGGTCCATCCCAGGATTCTCCAAGCACTGACTGCCCATCCACTCTGACAGAGCCAGGAGCCACATCCCACTGCCTGCCCAGTGTCCATCCATGGAGTGACCAGTGAGTCCTCGTCTCCTGCCTCACCCACAGAAGGAGATGATCTGTGTGAGGCAGATGTCACCCCCATCGCCATACACAGTGTGACACTGCTCATCTGCCTCTGTGGGCTGGCTGGGAACGGGGCTGTCATCGGCCTCCTCAGCATCGGCTTCACCACCGACTTCATCTTCAACCTGGCTGTCGCTGTCTTCCTCTTCCTCCTCCTCATGCTCACATGCACACTGCTCCTCCTTGTAGAGGATGTGGTCTGCTCTGCTCTTGTGCCCCTGGGGTCCTTGAGCTTCCTTTTCCGGCTGTCGCTCTTGTGGGGGCTCCAGCGTGGGGCCGTACCGTGTGCTGTTCATGAACATCACAGGATTAGGCTCTGTAGCCTTCAATTCCTTCTGCTGCTGCTGCTCTTTCTGTTCTGAGTGCCTGCCAGGCGTGGTATGAGTGCCCTGCAGTGACCTTCTTTGCTGTCGCTGCTCTCCATCCAGCAGTGGCTTCCCTGGGCCAGTTTCACTGCCAGGTGTCTCTCATCTCCATGCACACCCTCCACCTCCTCCTCTTTGCTCCCTTCATGCTCATTTCCAGCATATTTTTCTCCATTCAGGACTCATGTTTCTCACAGAAGAGCAAGCCCAAAAGGCTCCACATTATTATCTTCCTCCCTCTCCTCACCACTCTCCCTCTTCTGGAATTTCCTGCAGCAGCTCGGCTACACCATTCTGCCTTCCCAGCCTGGTTTCCTGCTTGCCAGCATCAACAGCACCATCAAACCCATCATCTCATTCCTGGTAGGGAGATGCTGGAAGAACGGCTCCATGGGGTCCTTCAGGGAATCTCTCTGGAGGGTCTTTGGGGAGCCAGAAGAAAATACTGCCAGCAGCAATGATTCCAGCAGGGAATGATTCCAATGATTCCATGGCAGTCTGAGCCTGCTGATCCCTTCCACTGCACTGGCGAAGCACCTCGGCATAGTAGCTGAGGGTTGTCTAGAGTCACCTGATTAATAAATATCCACAGGGTCAATTCTGCAGGAGAAGGCAGCAGGGGCATTGCCAAGGGCCATGTGAGAGGGATGCTCTTTGGGGAGCACATTGGAGCATGGCTTTGATCCTCCCTCAGGGGTCCTAGAACACCATTCCCAAAACGGATCGTGCCCCACACGGCTGTGATCCCAAAATTCTCCCTGGTACCTAGGTCCTGCATCCCACTGGGCTGTGATATCAATAAACAGCACCGTGAACCCTGAGCTGCCTTCGCCTCCCGGCTTCCTCTGGCTGCTGCTGCCAGCCGGGAATGTGGCTGGAGGGAGGGGACACACCCATGGCTTGTGCTCCCTGGAGGAACAGTGATCCCGAGTGCCCAGAGCTGGGCTGGCAGCGGCACAGCCGGCACAGACACGATGGCCCAGGGGCTCAGCATTGCCCCCCGGCTGCTCCGAGGTGTCACAGCAGAGATGTCCCTGCTCCCGGCTGGAGTGGGGCTGCCGGGGAGGGGAAGGGTGTATTGGAGGGGGCGGGAGGCGCCAGGAAGGATCTGGATGCTGCCGATCTCAAATGTCCCTACTGGAGAGCAGCAGAGCCAGAAGGGCAGAGCTTCAGCCCGGGGAGCAGCCATGGCATGGCTTGGGATGGGATGGCATGGCATGTGGGGTAGTGATGGGCTTAGGAAGTAATTAACAAGGGGCTGAAATAAACTTTCAATCACATTGGGAAGAATTAGGAAGCAGGAATTCTTTACCTCCACAGCACACACAGAAGATCTCCCCTTGTTCTGTGTGTGGTGAGACATTACAACAGGGGCTTTATCCATCAAAACCACACACACTCACAAAAGTGTGTTTCTTATCTAATACACAAACATCACTTTCCTAGAACTAATTTGCATGCATCCTCCTCCTACGTGGGAGTCCTTTCCTGGCCCTGGAGGATCATTCAGAGGGGTCTCTGGTGGTCGTATGCCCCGAGTGCTGAGATGTTAAAGGTGACCCTGCCTTGAACTTTTCCTTTGGCCATGCACTGTTGCTTCTTTTTACAGAACTTGCTCCAAAACCACTGCAGACCTCCTAATCTGTTTCTGCACTGGCTCCAGCCACGTTTATCATCCTGTGTGATCCTGAGAAGCACATCGGAGCTGGGCTTTCCTCCTCCCTCCTGGGTCCTAGATCCCTATGGCCAGGAGGAGCAGGGACACTGTCGGGGGTCCCAGGTGGAGCAGGGTAGAAGTGAGGCTACCAGGGGAAAAAAATCAGCCCTGGGTGGTTCTGGGGTGTCAGAGCAGGCTGGAGGGGTCAGGAGAGGGTTAGAGTACGTTGGAGGGGGTCTGGATGCTGGTAAAGTCAGAGCAGAGCAGAGCCTGACAGGCCACGCTCAGAGTGGGGGAGCAGCAGCTGTCTGGGAAAGCTGTGGGATGTGATAGGATGGGGTGAGGATGGAGAATGGGGTGGGAATGGAGTGCAGAGATGGGGATGGGATGGGATGGGATGGGATGGGATGGGATAGGATAGGATAGGATAGGATAGGATAGGATAGGATAGGATAGGATAGGATAGTGAGCAGCTGAGCTCTGCTTCCTCAGGCCATGGGGGAGCTCAGGCAATGATCCTGGAGCTCTTCCTGGAATAGGAGTTACTTCTGAGAAGCACCCAGATGACTCACCAGCACTGGCAGCATTCCAGTGCCACCAGCATCCCTCTGCTGCTGGAGGGACAATGACCCCTCAGGGAAGAGAAACAAGGAATGGTAGAAACCTGTCAGGAGAGGGAAGGCAGTCGGAAAAAGCGACATTCTGCAGGGAAGGAATGTTTCTCATCAGGAGGAAATGAGGAGCCATTTACAGCTTTTGACAAAAGCCACTTCCTCTGTAGCAAAAAAAAAAAAGAAGATAAATATCTCAGACGAAGTAAAGTTATGACGTAGCCAAAGCTGCAATTTCTGACTCCCCCGTGACTCCACCAAGCCTTGGAAAACAGCAGCAGGACAGGGCAGAGAGAGGAGCCAGTGGGACAGGAGTGGGGAGCTCCTGGTGATCTGGGCACTTTCTACTTCATGTCACTGACCTGGCAGGAGCCGCTTTAGGACACGGATCCCAAAGGAGCAAGAGGGACCAGGAAGCACCGCTGATCTGCACAGATCTGATTTGCCTGCTGCTGCCCCACAGGGAACAGGTCAGTGGAATGGTTTCCTTCCTCCCTACCCCACCTTCCTCTCCTCCAGCAGCATCTGCTCTGTTCCTGCCATTCTATCATGATGACTGCAGTGCCATCCCCAGCTCTCTCCTCCTCTGCCCTGAGCTTCCCTTCTCATCCCCTGCTGAACTGCCCAATGCTCCTGCCCCCCTCTCTCAATCCACAATTTCTTCTGCCCTCCTCCTCTGCACATCTCACTCCTCCCCCTCTGAATCCTTCCCACTGCAGGGAGCTGCTGAGGACCCTCATGGTCCATCCCAGGATTCTCCAAGCACTGACTGCCCATCCACTCTGACTGCAGCCAGGAGCCACATCCCACTGCCTGCCCAGCGTCCATCCATGGAGCTGAGCACCGTGTCCCCATCTCCTGTCTCACCCACTGAAGGGGACCATCTGTGTGAGACAGATGTCACCACCGTGGCCACACATAGTGTGACTCTGCTCATCTGCCTCTGTGGGCTGGCTGGGAACGGTGCTGTCATCGGCCTCCTCGGCCTGAAGGGTGTTAAATTTGTCATCCATAACGTGGCTGTCATTGACTTCCTCATCCTTCTCCTCACATTCCCATCCGCCCTCCTCTTCCTGGTGGAGGACGTGTCCTGCTCTCCGTGCCTGAGACACCTGAGTGGGTCAGGCCTGGAAGCAAGTATCAGGCATAACAAAGGTTAAATGTTGCTATTTGATTTTCCTCTGCTGAATTGCTAATATTAATGTATAAATGAAGTACTGTTAAGTTGGAGTGCTGTAAAGGGTTTGGGCCATTTTCCTTAAATCCTTACCCTCACTGTCCTTTTGTCTCCTGCCGTTGAACACATGCACAAACAAACACACAGGGACAGCACTTTCGTGTGCTCTTGCTTAATATTAAACCTGGTTTTTACTGATGTCCTTGCTGCTGGTTTTGTGCCTTCAGAAATTCTCCCTCTGCCCTGGCTTTGGCCTCTCCCTCAGCAGGCTCGGATGGTGCAGCTGCAAGGGGAGGGGGAGTCCATGGTCCTCAGCACAGCCACCCCCTTCCAGGAGCAGGGTGACATCTGTGTTTGTCACCGTTGTCTCCACGGGGCATCAATCCCCACCCTATGGCTTTGTTGAGGTCTCTGAGCTTGGGATGTTCAGCCTGGAGAAGGGAAGGCTGCGGGGAGACCTTAGAGCCCCTTCCAGTGCTTTAAGAGGCTCCAAGAACTGGAGAGGCGCTTTGGACAAAGGCCTGGAGTGACAGGACAAGGGGGAATGGCTTCCACTGCCAGAGAACAGGTTGAAGTTGAATATTGGCAAGAAATTCTTCCCTGTGAGGGTGGAGAGGCCCTGGCACAGGTTCCCACAGATGCTCTGGCCTCCCCATCACTGGAGGTGTTCCAGGCCTGGCTGGATGGGGTTTGAAACAATCTGACCTGGTGGAAGGTGTCCCTGCTTGCAAAGGGGTGAGATCAGGAAAAAACAACCACAAGTATTCCCAGGACTGAGGAGGAGAATGATGAGCTCTGGTGAAGGGCTGGAAGGGGCACCACAGCACCCCAAAATCTGGTCCCCTATTGCTTTTATTGCATCATCAAGGGTATTGGCAGTAAGAAATGTGGGCTCTGATGCTGATAACCTGGCTGCAAGCCTGTCGTGGTTTGGCTCTGGCCAAACACCAGGCACCCGGGAAAGCTGTTTGCTCACCTTCTCTTGCTGTCAGCTGGGGGAGGAGAGGGAAACAAAAATTAACAACGGGCTCATGACTTGAGGACTGGGAGAAAAAACACTCCAAGAGTACAAAACCAGGTTCAAATGTAATGGTATTAAGTAAATGTATTATTCACAGAGGCAGAGGATGATCATGAGATGTAACATAAAATTTTAAAACACCTTTTTTCCCCCAGCCCCACCCTTCTTCCCACCAACAGTGCACAGGTACAAGGCATGGGTGTTCTTAACCAGCGTTGCCAGCATTTGTTGCCAGCTAAACCTTGTCTATCTGGAAAACACCCGGGTTATACATTACAATAAGATCGATGATATTTTAAACTCACTTCATTGGTAGCTAAAAAGCCCAAAAAACCAACAACCCTTCCCCCCCCAACCAAACAAGAAAAAAAAACCAAAAAAAACCAAAGAAACAAAAAAACAAACAACCAAACATACATCCCCCCCAAAACATACCACCAAACAAATGGAAGTGAAATTCTGATGTAGTCAAAGATGTAATTTCCTACTTCACCATGGCCCCACCATGTCTTTGGGAAGCAACAGCGGGATACGCAGAGGAGAGAGCCAGCAGGATGGGAATGGGGAGCTCCTGGTGATCTGGGCACTTTCTCCTTCATGTCACTGACCTGCCAGGAGTCGCTTTAGGACATGGATCCCAAAGGAGCAAGAGG